TATATATATATATATATATATATATATATATATATATATATTCAATGTTCAAATATATATTCAATGTTCAAATTTGGTACCTGCAAGGACTGGCTGGAGACCATGCTCAGGTAGGTATTTATTTGTAGGTAATGGTAGCATCATATCACCAAGAGGTAGTATGGGTATGCTAGCATCTTGGGGCATCTTGCGCCCCTCCACAAGCCATGTTTGAATCATTTGCCTGGATTATAGTAGTTATATATGTGGTAGGTATTCTCAGTTTAATATGTATGATGCAATCAAAAATTTCCCAAGATAGCAAATCCAACTAATAGTATTTTAATTTCTACATGACAAAGAAGCATTAACCTCTGCTATTCCTTGAGATAAACGAAAATCCACAAATACTGATGTAGTCTTTGAAACCCTAGCACGAGAACTCTTTTCCATAACACCTTCACGTGGTGTGCTGATAACAGAACTCTCTTCCACAACACCGCCAACATCATGTGGTTCAATAGTAATAGAATTCTTCTCCATAACACCAACACTTTCACAGGCATTGACAATAGCAGAAGTTATTTCAATATTCTGATCGTTTCGATGTGATTTGGGGGCACTTCCGCTGTCTGATTCAGAACTAGATGTAACTGTGCAAGACGATCCCATGGCCTGCTCTTCACAGACGGCATGTCCATTTAGTTTAGCATTAGCTAACAGCTCTTCCAATTCCAGTATTTGTTTCAAATCAGTGCAATGGCTGGCTGCACGCCCATAACCGTGCTCCCAGACACACAAAGCATCCTCAATCTTCCCCATAGAGGACAAAGCACAACCTAGAACAGATAACAAAAATGATCAATGCGAAGACAATACGAGCACAGCATTCTAACGACAAGCAACACTTGGAAGTGTTTCTTGATTTAAGGTATTGCATAATTTCTTTCTTTTTTTTTCCTTTTTTTTTCCCCAAAAGTTTGCATGAAATTTAACAAATAAGTAAAATGAAGACACGCAGAATCAACCTAATACTAATAACATTAAATAATCTAGGGAAAATAATAACCTCCCCCCAATTTGTACTTTCTAGGCATCCTCCCTCCAAACACATGAGATACCGCAATATTAATATCAACACTATTTTTCTTTGCGACCAACCCCCCAAGTAAAAAAGTGAATTTTTTGGACCAAAATACCCCACCTACCCTACCCCCTCAGGTTTTAACCCATGATTCCATAACGTGACACCCAACGTGTCAGTCCGACACATTAAAAAATGTGTAGGTCCGGCACATTTTTTGGACCAGCACAACTTAAATATAGAGCAGGCCCAGCACAAAATATGTGTAGGACCGATTCTGTACTCAAGTCATGCCAGTCTAGCAAGTTGTGTCAGTCTACCACATTTTGTGATGGACTGGCATTGAGATAGAAACTGGAAAACGTGGCCTAAAAAGGGGGTATTTCAGTCCAAAAATAAGCCCTCTTTTTTACTTTGGGTGGTTGCAATAATAGAAAGTTTTGGGGTTAGGAGTGTGATTTACAATATATTGGGGGCATGGCATGCCTAGAAAGTAGGGTCGATGGGGGTACCTATAATTTTCCCAATAATCTACACCTTGCAACACAATTTGATTGATAAAACAAGACATGTTCGCCAAAGTTACAACGTCGCAACATGACAACTCTAGCTGCAATATTGAGTCTACTAATCATAAATGAACAGCGACAGGTGATGTCAACATCAGCTGCAATAACCCCTGAAATTCAAGCTTTCATTTTTAAAGGAAATCATAAACAATAACAAATAATGTGATCTTGTTACATATTTTAGCATTAAGCATGTATAGTATGTACGTCCTGGTCTCAATTCCTACCAAGGGTAGGGACCCTCTCCAGACTTACTCACCCATTTTACTTACCCAAAAAAAACATGTATAGTATGCTCTTACAGGACCACACAATGCACTTACTCCCTCGGGTAGAAGACCTACTTAGGAACTTTTTCGATTTGAAATTTTGGGAACCACATAATGATCAGTAGATAATTATTTTCAAAATAAAAAATTTGAATTTTGAGTTGTCTAACACTTAGATCTCACCATCCAAAAATTGGACAGTCTCTAGTCAATATTGAGATTTGTTTTTTTTCAAGCCCATAGAGATAGGGCTGAGAATGGGTCAGATCGGGTTCAGATCCACGGGGATCCAAATTCAGATTTGAAAAGTATAAATGGGATCCGGATCCAAATTCAGACCGGATCGAATCCAGAATATTCAGATCTAGATCTGGATGTGAAAAGTATACATGGGATCCGCATCCGGATATATATATATAACCAAAAATTATTATATAATATATATGTATATATAAAATAATATATAATATTTTAATAACTGGGTGAATCCACTTGTACCCGGATCCGATTTGAATTACCACTTGAATTCAAATTTTGGATACGGATCCAACCCATCGAATCCAAATCTTGGATCCATACCGAATCCGGATAGGGTCTGAAATTCAGGTTTCGGATCAAAACCAGGTAAATACTCAACCCTAACAGCAAGTGCAATTTGGAAAAAATTTTATTGAGGTTAGAGTATGAGTTGAAGAGGTTACATCTACAAAATTTGAATTCCTAAAAATACTCCTAGTTTAATTGTATCCAAGGGAGTAAATGGATATATATTCCCATGGGAGAATAAAATCTTTTAGTTTTAGAATTTAAGGTGTTATTGTAATTTTCTATTATTTGGTCTCAAAAAACAGGAAAAAAAAACAAAAAAATTTCTCAACCTCATGCATTTATTGCAGGTCGTCCCCAAAAACATACCATTCAAGCTTCATGCACGGGATTCTGGCTTGAAATTATCAACCTGGCTGTGCATTAACTAAGAAAGAAAAACAATAGGAAGGATCACAACACATCATTTGTTTTTTCTTTTTAGGAAAGGTTAACTAGGATCACAACACGTCATTGGCAGCTTCACGTGTAAGATAATATATTTGAAGAAATCATATTAGTTGCATGCAGGAAACAATATCATAGGTTTTCTAATCAATCTTCTAGTTCCAAAAGATGCTTCCTTTTTCTTATGGTTTTCTAAAAAATGTTTCCTTAAAAGAAGATATTGTTAGTAATTTGCCATTAGGAACCCAAAATATGCTAGGAGATTTCCACAAGCACAGCAAGAAGTGCACATGCTTCTGCCATAAAATACCTCAAAAGGATGTTAAAGAATGCGGAATGCCAACCAATGTTGCCATTGTTTATCAATATGCCCCCAATACTCAAACAGGCCTCAATCCCAATAGAGATACTGTCAACGAGCAATGGCTGGATTGAAGTTCTCAAAGAGGCTATGGACAATAAATTAACACTTACAAGAATAAGACTGATGGATCCACTGGATAGGTTATTGAGATTTGTTGAGTCACATGTAAAGCCTCAATGGGCTACTTGTATAAATGATAGCATACAATGTGTCATGTTTCTTTTTCATCCAACTTACCAGTATGACCCCATGATAGGTCAAAGTGTCAAAGAGTTGGGTAGTACAAAGAAAGCAAAGAAAGAGTGACAAGATCAATAAGCTAAACAGTGTTCAAAAAAGGGCTATCGAGCACCTAGGCGGAACCTTAGGGTTCACACCCTGGCCAAGGCGGCCATTAACTGGCGGGCGCCCGCCCAGGGGCCCAATCCTTGGCGAGCACCTAGGTACTGGGCCCCTTTTTTGTAATTAAAGTTAAGGGCACTTTGGCTCATTTTGACCCACAAAATTTACATATATGAAACTTGAGAATATTTTAAAACCCCAAAGTGAAAAAAGAAATCAAATTTAAGCCCCCAAATCAATTGATTTGATATTTCTGTGAATCAAAAAAAGAATCTTAGGTTTGAGAAAACATCCAAAAGCTTGCACTCCATTGTTTCAGCCTGATTGGAAAAAAGCATACTTCTTTATCCTTTTTCGGTTCATTTTAATAAACTTCGATCCAGGAATAACTTTTTTTGATTTTAAGGAAGCATACTTTAAAACCATTTTAATAAAAATTTCATGAATAATCACAATGCTATGAAACTAGAGAACTAAGGCATGAAAGTTACATAGACCATATATATGTATAATGGTGAGTTGCTTGACAAATAAAGCAAATGTCAAAAGATTATATGTATACTTCTCTTTTGTATTTCATCTTGTCTAATTGTAATTGTGTTTGTGTGTCAGTTTGGAATATGCCGTACTCAGTTTGGATTGGATAGTTGGAGGCTAATGCATCATGGACTTGTTTATGTTTTTGACTTCTTTCACTAAATTTTTAATGATTTTAAATTTTGAACAAGTTTCAACCTTCACGAGTACATATTTGAATGGAAAAAGTTAGTTAGAATACATATAAATGCAAAAAAATATAAAATTAACACAAACATCTTAAACTATGTCCTTTCAAACAGCACATATATGCAATTTTTTACCTCAGGGCACCTTAGGTTCTAGGCACCCTCTTAGCACCTAGGTGCTAAGCGCCAGGCCGGTCGCCTAGCATTTTTTTTAAACCTTGGCACTAAATCAAGCATGAATTTCGATAATTAGTACATTAGAAATAATATTATACATTAGAAATAATATTAAAGCTCTAATTCAATCATGAAGCACAAAGGAAACTGAGACCACTAGATCATCATCATCATCATTATCAGACCTTTTTCCCAACTATTTGGGGTCAGCTACACGAATCATGGTCTATCATTCTACTCTATCAAGGGCCATAACCTCAGTGAGGCCATAAGTCTCCATATCTTTTCTCACTACTTCCAACCATGCCCTTTGGACCTACCTCTTGGCCTTTTTGAGGCTTCCACTTGAACTAACTCACACCTTCTAACAGGTGTTGTACTGGGCCTACGCTGCACATGGCCAGCCCACCCAAGTCTACTTTCTCTCATCTTATCGCCTATTGGAGCCACCTAAGTTCTCCCAAATGTAT